ATACATACATACATAAATAAAAATCTAGAGGTGTAGCCCAGCGTGCGTGGCTCATTGGTTAAGCATCAACCTGTGAACCCGGAGTTCACTGTTCAATTCCCGGTCAGGGCTCATGCCCAGGTTGCAGGCTCCATCCCCAGTGTGGGGCGTGCAGGAGGCAGCCAGTGATTCTCTCTCATCATGGATGTTTCTATCTCTCTCCGTCCAGCTCCCTCTCTGAAATAAAAAATGTATTAAAAAAAAACGCTCCCAACCTGCGTGGCTCAGTGGCTTAGCGTCAACCTGTAAACCAGGGGGTCACCTGTTCGATTTGAGGTCAGGGCACAGGCTCGGGTTGCGGGCTGGATCCCCAGTGCGGGGTGTGCAGGTGGCAGCCGATCAGTGATTCTCTCATCGTTGATGTTTCTATCCCTTCCTCTCTGAAATCAATAAAAATATATTTTAAAAAATTAAAATAAAAACAAATGACCTCACTCTCCTCCCCCAGAAAAGGAGTTTTTCTGTCCTTGTCGTATTGAATGAACCCTTACCAAGTAATGCCCCAGGCCCCCCCACTGCACAACACGTCTTGTCAAACGTGTCTCCTTTAGGACGTAGCAGTTCTGTGGCTGCAGGACGGCTCTCTGGGATCTCAGCCCGCTCCCACTTTAGCAGACTCAGCCAATGGCCTCTCTCTTCCAGCCTCAGGCCCCACTCCCTTGCCTCCCCGAGGTCAGATGGGGAGACCTCCAGACGCAGGCCAGGTCTACCACCATTGTCAGTAGAGAGCAGTTACTGAAAATACGCAGCCTTCTTCACCAACCCCTAAGTCACTTCAGGTCTGGGAGTCTCCAGGGAGGAAGTGTGGCAGGACAGTAAGTAGCTAGGAACGTCCCTGGGCAGGAGGGATAGGGAAACTAAGACAAGAAATAAGGCCAAACCATGTGAACCACATTCAGCCAGCTGATGATTCCCAAGACCTTATCTTCCCCAGTCAAGGAGACTTGGAAGCAAATGATTTATAATTCCCCTCCCCAACCAGTTACCATGATCCTGGAAATAGAGAACAGAGACCCAATAAATGCCATGCATGCCAGCTCACCCACAGGACAGATGAAGTCAGGGGAACGCGTAACAAAAACCCCATTAAAGCCAGACAGACCCAAGATGAAAGTAAAACAGTGAAGCAGACCAAAAAACAGGAAAAAAATTCCCCAAGGCCAGTGATGGCGAACTTTTGTTTTAAAAAATTAAAATAAAAACAAATGACCTCATTCTCCTCCCCCAGAAAAGTTTTTCTGTCCTTGTATTGAATGAACCCTTACCAAGTAATGAATGCCATGAATGAACCCTTACCAAGTAATGCCACAGGCCCCCCCACTGCACAACACGTCTTGTCAAACGTGTCTCCTTTAGGACGTAGCAGTTCCGTGGCTGCATGACGGCTCCCTGGGATCTCAGCCCGCTCCCACTTTATCAGACTCAGCCAGCGGCCTCTCTCTTCCAGCCTCAGGCCCCACTCCCTTGCCTCCCCGAGGTCAGATGGGGAGACCTCCAGACCCAGGCCAGGTCTGCTGCCATTGTCAGCAGTGAGCAGTTACTGAAAGTACGCAGCCTTCCTCACCAACCCCTAAGTCACTTCAGGGCTGGGAGTCTCCAGGGGGGAAGTGTGGCAGGAAAGTAAGGAGCTAGGAACGTCCCTGAGCAAGTGGGATAGGGAAACTATAAGACACGAAATGAAACAAGGCCAAACCATGTGAACCACATTCAGCCAGCTGATGATTCCCAAGACCTTATCTTCCCCAGTCAGGGAGACTTGGAAGCAAATGATGGATAATTCCCCTCCCCAACTAGATAAGGCAGCGCTTAAGTTACCGCGGTCCGGGAGATAGAGAACAGAGACCCAATAAATGCCATGCATCCCAGCTCACCCACAGGACAGATGAAGTCAGGGGAACGCGTAACAAAAACCCCATTAAAGCCAGACAGACCCAAGATGAAAGTAAAACAGTGAAGCAGACCAAAGAACAGGAAAAAAATTCCCCGAGGCCAATGATGGCGAACCTTTTGAGCTCGGCGTGTCAGCATTTTGAAAAACCCTAACTTAACTCTGGTGCCGTGTCACATACAGAAAGTTTTTGATATTTGCAACCATAGTCAAAACAAAGATTTTTATTTTTGATATTTATTTTATACTAGAGGCCCGGTGCACAAAAATATGTGTACTTGGGGGAGGCGTAGGGGAGGGGGTCCCTCAGCCTGGCCTGTGCCCTCTCGCAGGCTGGGACCCCTTGGGAGATAACACCCTGCTAGCTTAGGCCTGCTCCCAG